TAAAAGAAGCACTTTTACAGCTGAAGCAAGCATTCGTTCTGAAACACTTTGCTCTACGTTTTATAGATAGATAATACTTTATTAATCCCGTAGGGAAATTGATGTAAAGAGACCTGCCTTGTGTGCTTAGCAGTAATTTTGATGATGGCTCTTTTTGGCTTGGTTCCCTCCATATATACTGTATAAGAATACACTTCCCTATCATGTATATTTAGATATAAATTAAATTCAAACATAAATCTGAAACATTTGTTTGTTTCAGCAAGTGATCTGTACAGTAATTGCTGTGTTTTTGGTTGTTTTGTTCTAATTAAATATTGTGAACTCCTCTACCAATTGAGTTAGTACCCACCTTCCGGGGTTTATAAGAAAAAAAATTAGCTTTTTGCAGTCCTGTCTGGAAAGCTTAGCATAATTTAGTTGATTCAGTTTTCAGTGTTCAGCTTGCTTTTTGTTTTCATGTGAGAGAACCCCATCTCGTACAGTACCAGTATTAGTTAAAAATAAAGGATGCTGTGAGTCATATGACTGTACTGTATGACGCGGTGGTATACTTTTTTACTTTTTTCTATTGCATTTACACGGACAAGCTCTTGGTGATGGTGGTGACGTGGAAAAAAGTTGATTCTTTGCTCGCTGTTTCCCCAGTTAAGAAGGACATGAAAGAAAATAGTCAACAGAAACTGATAAATTGGCTGATATGCTGAGGCAGTCACTAGATATTAACAGGCAACTTGCAAGGTGGAGACATCATTGAGGTCACAGATTTCTACAAATCTACAATTATTTAGAATTTGGTCTTGAAAGTGGACTTGGTCTTGAGCAGAAGAACAAAACAAAACCTGAAAAAATGCTGCTGCAGTGAAGCCAGACACTCCAGTATGTAAGGTTACCGAGCTGAAGGACTTCTTCTTCTTCTGCACTAGTATCTTCACTGTGAGTTTCCCAGAGGACCGTGAGCAGATCAGTCCAGTGGTGTATCTGAAACAAGCAATCACTATGTGCTTTCCATATCTGCACTACTTACAAATTATAGATTATTCCCTGACATCTGGTTCACTTAGGAGAATTAAAGGGATTTGCATTATATCACATATTTCTAATGCGTATACTGTAGTCTTCACTTGTTCCATGACTTACAATCCCAGTTAGAGCTACCTGCCTCTTCATTCTGTTTTTAGATGCATTCTTTCATCATTGAATAATGCAATGAAAAATTACCATGTTTATTTTAAATGCTTAAGAAAAAAATGCTACTATTGAAATTTTAAAAAATCTTCGACCTCTCACACCTTGATTGAATCAGGAATTTTATGTACAAACCTATTCTGTCACTGCCTCCGTATAGAGTAAATGTCCCAGGGCTAGCAAATGGTAGCAAAGAACAGTTGATTTTACTGTCCAATAAAGAAATTTATTATTTAGTTAGTTTAGTTTATTTAGCCAACATTGATGTACCTGTAGGCCTGCAAAAGAAAAGCTCTGCATAAAGAGCAGTTAATTTTATTTCAGATGTAAAATCAGAGTTTGAAATAACAATAACGGATTTACAAATTCACCGGTTCTCTCTCACATAGTGCTTTAGGGGTGCTTGTTTTATGATTATTAAAGAAAAAACACTACTTATGAAATAAAAACCAATTTCACATTTTGATAAACACGAGAGTCTTCATGTTGTTGTTATCATCTTGTTTCTATAGAGCTACAGTGAGTCTGTGTGGTGATAGCAGAGAGCATGTACTGTAATGTGAGACCTGCAGAGGAACTGGAAAGGAGAAGAAAAAACACAAAAGGAATGCCCAGCGTGGAGTCAACATTACTGTACATGGGGGAGAAAGAAACAACAAATTGCTTAGTGCAGCCGAAGTAGAAAGATGAATGACAGACGAAACAAGGAGGGAATTGCAGTCAAGGAGATGTTTATAGAGGGTGATAGCATGGAATTGAATATCTACTTGATCTTCTCCAAGCTGCAGAGCAATGAACAGTGGCTGGCTGTCCTGTAAAAAAGCGCCTTTCTGTTAGCAGTGCATTTCTCAGCACTTGAGCGTATCTTGCGGTGACCTGTCAGCACGAGCACAGTGAGAGAGAAAAGAAAATCAATGACTCAAAGACCAAACTCATAACGGGCTGTGATTTTGTTTGATCACGTTGGGGTATTAAAAATATAAGGCCTGAATGTAAGGGAATGGCTCTGTTCTGAAAGTAGACATCTGAATATTATACAGAACATTATGTTCGTAATAGATTATTTTCTAACCATACTGTCATAGAATTATCAATCATGAGGCCTTAGCCTTAAAAAGAAATAAAATCAGATGTTGTACACTATTGTTGTGACGAGTGGATGCTTGCTTCGTTGACATATACTGTTTGTTAACCTGACAAAGACCATTTTCAGCCAATTGTATCACCTATTGATTTGTGTTTGTAAATTTACGGTGCTTTTGTTTTTCTGCTCTAAAACAAAAGAATAAGCCTTGCTTGTTTTACCTATTAGCAATAAAGGGTGTGTTTGTTAGACTCATTAGTGCTCTTTTATTGCTATGGGAAAACCCACCTCTCCAAGGGGCACAGAGGCATCTGAGCTGGTGGCATTCCCTCAACATTAATTCTGTGGGACACCTTTACCACAGCTGTCCCTACTCTCTCAGTCATTTTCTAATTATGAATGACCACGAAGCATTTACTAAAGCAAGGTCAAGCCTGGACTTGAATCATAACCAGAAATTTCTCTGATGGAACTTCTCGGCAGCACATTGGCGCAATGGGCTGTAGTGTCTCTTCGGAGCTCTAGGGTTTGACGTTTGACCTTGGGTCATGTCTGTGTGGAGTTCTGGATGTTGGATGTCCTCCCTGTAATCTTGTGGCCTTTCTTTGGGTACTCTGGTTTTGTCCCATCATTCATGTTGTCCAGGTTGCTTACCATCTTTAATTGACTGGAGCCCTAATCAGGGTGTTGACCCATTTTGCTCCCTATGTCTACCAGACTAGATTCTGGCTCACTGCTGCCCTCTATAGAAGAAAACAGGTATTGAAAATGGATGAATGGATGGAAATGCGGTCCTACTGTATACTCTGCCCTGTTTCCTCTTATAATTGCGACACCTTCTATCATTATCAAAAATATAAAGAACAAATACTGTACCAAGAATCTGCTTTTTTAAGTATAATATTTAACATGTACATTTCGAAATAAAACTAACTCCGAAAATTAAAAGTATGTTGAAAATGTGTACCAGCACTGGTAAATCAAAAACACTCCTTTGGCCAAAATGTCTTTGTTTATTAAAGCTTTGATAAAAACAAAAATGATTTGAGACTTCAGAACACACAAAAGTTCTTGCACAGTCTGTTAGTTCAATTTGATTAAAGCAGGTAATTAAATTTTACTTTCCGCACATCATACTAGAGAACCTCTGAAGATGTTTTTTTTTTTGCAGGAATTAACGTTTTCAGGTCTGTATCAAATACAGTGCAGACCCAGCTTTGGCAGCAATGACAGTGTTATTACTAATACTGTGATTGCAAGATCTTGATAGATTTCTCGTGTAATTCATTTCTGTCAGAACGTTTGCCCGTTCAAACTTCTGAATGACATAATCTCGCAGTTGATATGACAGCTTCCAAAGTTATCATAAATTTCTTTTGGAAATATACCTAATATGAGAACAAATTATTTTCACTTTGGACTGGATATCTGATAACTTGTTTGCCTAAAACACAGGGATATACACCCCTTTTCACTAGCCATTGTAGCACCTCAGTGTTCCAATTTAGAACTGGAGATCCTAAACACAGCTGCCTCCTTCTTCTGCAGGTCACTTAGGAAGTAAGTACCCCACAAATAAGGTCAGACAGGATTCTAACACAGTGCCATTTTAATAGTTGACTAAGCCATATAAGTAAGTAATGTTACAGATATGCACTACAACTAGAATTGAACCTGTTTTGTAAGTGTCCAATAAATGGAAATGCCTTAATTCACTCAGTCTGGCTGCGGTGCACCTCAGAGTAGCCAGGTGAAATGGGGTGCAAGTGTCCATTGGGAGAACGTTTTTAGAATTTAGGCATGCTGTTCCAAAATTTTCAGTTACATTATATAATCTTTCCATGTACTTCCCGGATAAGTGAATCAGGTCTGGAAATGTTGTGTGGAGCAATACTGTATATACAGTACAAATACCTTTGCCTACTAAAACACAGCTTACAAGGGAACATTCAACTTGTTGAACATACAAATCTGTACATTTTAAATTGGACACTTCATTGATGTGCATACAAACTTATAAAATCAGATTGCATGCACATTCAGGCATGCAAACAGAATTTCAGACAGAAACTGAGTTAAATGGTGGACAATTACTGATGGAATATGCTGGAAAAGCTACCACACTAATCTCATGATTGTCTAGGGGAGTGATTTTACTGTCTTTAGTTGCTTCCAGAATGGGATCGTTCAGCCTGCCTTCATGCTGTGTCTTGGTCAGGAACTCATTCTCATGGTAAAACGAATGATAATACCTCAAAATAAGTGAAATTTAGACCCAGGTCTGGTTTGACCTAACCTGTTTGGTTCCCCTTCAGTCAGAACTGTCAAGCACATGGATTATAAAATGTCTCAATGCAGATGGTAACATTGCAAGACCTGTGTTAATGTAAAATGCATTACCATATTGTGACTGCTACACTTTCATATTTTTGACCTTAACATTTTTCTCCCCAGGTTTCATTGTACATTAACATAAAACCTTGCTGTTCTCACCAGGAGCATTTCAATCTCTTTGTAATAGACAAATCTGGCAGAACACTTTATTTATGCTTTTTTACAACGTATTCCACGAAACCTGGGAAAGAAGGGATTGTTTTTTTCCATTTAAGCAAAAGTACGGTTTTGTCCCGTCTACAGCCTCCGTTGGTAAAAGCTTGCTGAGATAAATGCAGCTCTGTGCCTTATCCTTGACAGCCATTCCTTACTGTGACTGTGCTATCTTTCACAGCAGCCTCCATCACCCCCGATCTCGATCTAAAAAGCTGAAAACCGTAGAGGACGAGAGGGCAGCTAGCAAGCCAGCGGTTACGGAAACAGCAGCTGTAAGAGCTGCTCCTCAAGGCTTCAAGGTCAAGAAGGAGCCCGAGAGGACAGGCAAGAAAGTGGAGCTGCAGGAGATAGGAGAGCTGTCTGCAGAAGAAGTGGAAAGCATTAGTGAAAACCAGCAGGATCACAAGTCCCTGGATGCAATCCAGTTCTCAGGTGAGATAAGGGCTGATTATGTGTCACCCATCAGTTGTGTGCCCGAGCTGTCTTGAAAGCTATAAATCCACTCATGACAAGCTCGACTCGTCTTAAATCACTCGCCCGCCTCCCCTTTCAAGCTCAACTCCTCTATTTTCTCTTGCTTTCTAATAAAGCATGTGGGCAGGAGAAATTGATTGGGATTTCCGATGCATGGAATGACCAGCATATTAAGGCAGTTATCGAATAACTAGAACAAGGGAGGATATGTCATTGATTTAATATTTGTAGTCCATGAAAATATTAAAATATTTTTAGAGTGTAATTGCAGGTGCTTTAGAACTATTGTTATACCTTGAAGAAAATCAATAATTAGCGTTCCTGTAAGGAAACATTTTATGCAGAAATATGACTGCATACAATACATATATGTTTTAAAAGTTTCTGAAGAGATCAGTCATTGGAATACATTTTATATAATAATTGCATAATTAATTATGATCAGTCTATCATAAAAAGATTTTAGGTACAAAATGAAATGGAATACAAATCATTTTTGTACCAAAAGGTTTAATATTGTCTGCATTATTAGTTGAATGGTATTTTAGTCAGTATTCAGTGCCAGTGTCATCTTACTGCAATCATTAATTGCACGTCAATGTAATACATACTGTACAGAATTATTTTTCATTGGGCATTTGATAAAATGAAAACAGGCAAAGTGATCATTATGTAGCAAGGAGGAGAAAAGAAGGAGATTCAATTAATTTTTTTTTACCAGGAAACTGAACCTGAACTATCGCTTTTAAGAATATTTGAGTAAAAAGTTTTTTTGTTCCCCAAGTATGCAAGGTGTTTTTAATAGGCCATATAAAATGGCACAAGTAAATTAGCTCTTGTTAAGTGCTTTTAGCATATATTAATTAGATTAGCAAACTAAATTGGGCAGTGAGAGTTTGATTTATTGCTTAACTAACTTGCTTTGTCACTCAGGGGAAAGCCAGATAGAAGCAAGCAAGAAGATATGCATGGTAAAAGTCAACGCAGAGGAGAAACACGGGACTAGATATTCCAGTGAAAGTGGCCAAGATTGCATCCCAACAGAATCCGTCCTCTCTTCCTGTACCGTAAACAAGCAGCAGCCAGAGGTTTCACCTCCGCCAGGAGAGTTGGAAGGGCAGGACGACGCTCTGGTCCTCTCTACTCCCGAAGACACTCGTTCTCCAGCAGCAGACATTGAGATGAAATCCCCTGCACAAGCTGGATATCTTAAACCACACAGTCCAGTGTCTTGTGGAGAGCTCAAAACTCTATCCCCAGAACAACATCAACACAATAAAGTAAATGCTCAAATGACTGCTTCTTCAGAAGTAGCAGGCAGCAAAGCTCAATCTCCAACATCAGACAGGAGGGATGAGTCCCTCAGTCACATGATTTGTGAGCCAGCAGTTATTCCATCCCCTCCACTGCTGACGAAAGAGCATCCACAGGTCCCAGAGCTCAGTAACTCAAATTCCAAATCCCAGATAATTGGTAGTGATGTTACAGATCTAGACACTGTAATTAAGGGGTCCATTTCAGCAGATGCCGAAGGGACTTCATTAACAACAGCACATAGCTGTGGGCCAGCATGTCATAGCTCTTTAAATTCAGATGATGACAGTGCGTCCGCACCTATTATCAGCAAGGCAGAAAATTCATGGCCCCCAGTTCTTGATAAGGATGGTGTACATTCATATAGTACAGTTTCAATTAATGAGGAACAGAATTCCAGATATGCGATACACAATGAAATGCCTTCTTTGACTCCGGAACTGAGTGATGAGGAACACTCTTTTACTCCCTTGGTCAGCCAAGAGATGCCATCTCTGACTCCAGCAGTATGCGTTGAGGTTAAATCAATGAGTAGTGACATATGCTTCCAAGAAGATCCTACAGCTCCTGTCCTCTGCAGAGAAATCTCCCCTCCTCCCTTGCTGACCAATGAAATGAATTCTTCAGCTGTCGTGCTTTGTAATGTTTCCCATTGTCTGGCACCAGAAAATGCCCTTGAAAGCCATGTCAGTCTGTGTGGATCTCAAATATCCAATGCTGACATGCACACCCTAAATACTCCAGTAAGTCTTGATATGAATACAGTATCCAAAGGAATAAAGGTTGAGGCAGCTTGTCTATCTCAAACAACTCCAGAGGAGCTACAGGCTTTAACTTCTGTCACTAGTGTTACATCCCCAATCTGTGTTAATGAACAACAGGTCTTCAGTGGTCCATCTAGCTGCAGAGAAAACACCTTAAATGTATCATCAAATTCAAATGCGAGCCCTTTACATCCGAAACTCATCAAAGATTTCCATCTTTTTGCGACTGCACTCAGTAAAAAATTGAGCACTCCAGCCGGTGAGGATGGAGCAAAGCCTTCAGGAGAACCAACTGGTGCTCCTTATGACGAGAGCACTCTAACTTCAGTTCCTTCTGACAAATCAGATTCCCAAACACCACAAACAAACAACGCACAGGAAGATCCCATCCCAACAAGTAAAGAAGATTTGAAATCCCATGGCACGTCCGAATTTTGGGATGAGGCTAAGCCCCGAGAAACGGGAATCTGGGGCAGTCTAGGCTCTCAGACCCCAGCGGTTTTGATAGAGAAGGTGAATCCAGAAATTCCAGCAGTTCTGACTGAATTAAAACCAGGAGAACCGATAGCTCACTACAGCCTTAACTGTCAAGCCCAAACATTTTGGCGTGAAGTGGTTCCCCCAGACCTGGCAGAATCAAGTGAAGGAAAGGCACGAGAGAACCCGCATGTTTGGGAGGTGTTGGACTCAGACAAGATGGAACCCTGTGGGAGCGAGTTCAGCCTCCGCAGAGTAGACTCAGAAGCAGCCGAAGCTCTGTCCGTTTGCAGGGAGTTGACTGCACATAGTCAGGGTTCGGGGGCCTTCAGCCTCTATGGGGACCCTGCCCTCCAGAGGTCGTCCTCCCAGGAGAAGGAGTTTGACTCCGACCTGAACACCAGCCGAGAGGAGGAAACAAACAGTGTGTCTACAGAGGAAAACAACCTGAGTGACTTTGACAGTGGAGGAGCTGAGCTGGAGCCTGGAGAGATATCCACGGTAAGGGTTTCTTCCCCATACTAGAGAAAAGAGTCCACACACCTTTATGTCAGTGCCATTTCAGAATAATAAATAAAAGGTAAACGGTAAAAGATTTTAAATTTCAGTATAAAACTATGCACATAACATCCCAATTGTGTGAAATGTTAGAGTTACAGTAAGAATTGTTCCCTTCTTGTTACTGTATGCTCAGCACAGTGACAAGATGACGAGGTCATGATTTGTAATCAAGACAAAGAGTCCGGATTGTAAATAATATGTTGAGTCACGCAAACGCAAAGAGAGAAGTCATTTGAGGAACCGTGCTGGCTATGCTGTCCTTCCGGTTTCTCAATCAGGTGATGATTGAAGTGGGAAGGAGCAAGACCACGAAGAGCTGGCGACTTCCACTGCGGAAGCCTACAGCGAGAGCGGCGCCAAGCGCCGTGAAGCAACAGGCGGGCAGCGACGAAGGTATGTCTCCCAGAAGCCTGTCGCCTGTCTCCGTCTCCCCGACTCATGCTCTGCGACCGCTGCTTGCCGGCGCGTTTTTTTTGGGGAGCAATTGACAGAGAAGCTTCTAGCAGGGCAGGAAAACTCCCGTCAGGTGCTGCTTTCCAAGCAAGCAGACGGGCTTTATAAAAAAAACAGGGCAGTATTCACGGGGGCTGTTGTCTTCAGTTTTGCACACAAGTCTGTGAGAGACTCGGAGGAGAGGGTTATAGTCATTTTACAGGCTTTTGTTGCTGTTCATTTCAAAAAGCAGAAACGTTTGCAGTTCAGGTCATAGGGAAAGGAAGCACCATTCCAGAGTCTCTCTTCTTGAGCAGGTTGTGATCCTGGCTGGCTCTCTTCACTGACCTCAGCCTGCCTTGGCAGTATCAGCGCTAGTGTCTCACCACTGGAGCTGCCCAGTCCGCCTAATTAGACAACAGTGAAACCTGACGTCCAGCTGAATGTTTCATAAAGCTCAGTGAGACTTTAGTGTGCATCGCTTCTATCACTGAAGGAGCCTAATTGTGATCCAGTATATGTCTGACAAATATTAATTGGCATCTGCCCTGAAAATTCCTTTCTTTTATGGCCTGAAGTTGGACTGTCCACCCAAGTCCTGTTTCACCATTTAGGATTGTCTACCCCTGTGAATAACTTTTTTTCTCCCAAAGGTGCTTTCTGTCCAGAGACCAGCTTCTGACTTAGAGACCTGCTTATTTTCGTGGTTTGTGACTGTAACAGTTCACTGTTTATAAGAAATAGATACAAAAAACTTAGGTACAATTACAGTTTATAGAAGTTAGAAATGAAGCCCATCAGCACGGTGGTGTTTGGAAGGAGAAAGGAAATTTTCTTTATGTAATTGTAGTGCACAATATAAGGGAATGTGATGTTGATTATGTGACACGAGATGTAATTCAACTTTATTGAGCTTCCTTCTTAGTAGCACATTTAATATATTTCATAGCTTGAGATCAATCAAGTTTTTTTTGCAATTATGAGTGATAATTAAAAGGAAATAAATGCTGTAGTTTGAAGGAGATTTTCTTCTCCTTATGAGCAGGATTCTGTTCATCTACTTTGTCTAATACAACAGGCTCAATTTTCACTGTAATTAATATCTTCAATGTATTGTGTGCTGTACATGGTAAAATACAGTAATCACTTTAGCTTGAAATATTTTAATAATTTAAAAAAATTAGCCCTGCCGTCAGAAATTCTGCATTAACTATTTTTACAAATTCTGAATAACTATGATTTCTCAGGTTTAAAGAAAATGTGTGATTATGTGCACCTAAAAAATTGACAAAAGATACAGTATGTCCTCTAAGGATATAGACCAATTATACAAGTTTCTAAGCAAGTAAAGCTTTAATTGTTTCAGCTGGTGACACCAAGATTCACTCTTAAACAGTTGCTCTCATGCTTTTATGTGCACATTGACAGATGTGTTTCCTATTGCAAACACAGCTAGATTCATTCAGTTTTTGCTATTCAGTTTTTTACACAGTCTAGCTAGACTCGAAAACATGTGCATGGGTTGTTAGGTGGTTTAGTTTTACTGTACTCTTGACATGTTTTGTAACCTAGTTACTTTCCCTTTCATGCGTCTTCATTCTATACCTAAAAGAACTGCTGCTAGTATTGGGAAAAAAAATAGAGAAAGCATGGCCAACAAACAAAAGCAGAAAGGTCACTGAAACCACAGTGATTTGGGTCATCTTTCAGATGCCTGCTCTAGTCTCTTAAATCGTAAACTGCTGCAGTATACTCTGGGTCGGTTACAAAGCAAATTCATTTTATTTACCTGAAGAGAATTAAAAGTGCGTGTTGTGAACCCATGGATGGTCTCAGCTTTGAAAACCTGTCTGCTTTAACATTTTTAATTAAATATAACTGTTTCACTCTACAGACACCATTTACAAATTGTGGTACTTATTGCATTTCTGTAATTAATTCAGAGAAATAATGGGAGGACTGGTGAGGTTCTGTAATATTTTCATAAGAATAACGGGTCTGTTTATGGATCATATTTCTTCTCACTCAGGGACCAAGGTGGGCTTGTGCCTTCAGAACTCCTATAGCCAGATATTGTCCAAATGAGACTGTATTATAGAATATTAATATCGACATTTTCATTTTTTTACCAGATTTCTCTTTGGCTGGTTCTGAGCTTGTGAATTGATTCCTGAAGGAGATAAATTGAAATTTACTAACTTTGATCATGAATGGTGAAAGCAAAGGAAAAAGAATCAATACAGCCTGTAAAAGGTTAGGGAGAACAAGCTTTCATAATTGAATGTGTAAAAAGAGCCGGCTTGTGCAGAGTGCCCTTAACAACACCATAATGGCCATTAATTTGTATGAAACAAGCACCGGGAAAGCAGAAAGTGCAGGAGAAACACCCATATTAGACAGGAAAAGCCATTTTCTCTTGAGTATTGAGTGCATTTTTTTCTTAAATCTTTTATTTATGTCCGTAGGGTGTTATGTTTTTATCTACTGTTTTTCTCCAGGTCACACATTGCTTCTTACATGTTGTGTTTCTCATGTTTCTATACCAAATGGACCAGCTTCCAGGCTTATTCACACTGGAAGAAAGAAAATCTGAAAGTGGTGTGCATTAATAAACTGTAATCCACTTGAAGGTCTTTATCTACTTCGTTTTGTTTAAAGTTTTGGGAAACAGTAGTGTGAGGAGCCCTAACACAGATCAGCTCGTTTCAGCACACACATGCCTACATCAGGATGGAACATAAAACATTTAGATATTATGTAATGAAGGTAATTAACAATTATTTATGTAAAAACAATTAGATGCAGAATCGAAATACTCGCTATTAGTGGTGTTATGTAATTATCGTGAATAACTGTTATCGTTGTCATCAAATGAAATTGTTTTTTTTTTTATTCCAAATTGTGATGTGGACAACAAATACATGCAGTATATAGTCTGACTACAGTAAAAAAAACACAATTTAATTCATTCATGAAATCTTTATGATTTTATCACCATTCAGCTTCATAAATACAGTAATAAAACCATTATGTGTTTTAATAGCATAATTCACACTCTGACTTCTGACCTTCTGCTCCTTGAGTCTCTGTTGTATGTACTGTACTCAGCAAAAACTATATTACAGTTAATAAATTATGTGATTTCAAACCACAGACCTCTATGAGGATGGCAAAATTAACCAAAATAAACTATCTTACCACAAAAATCCCAACTAACACTTACAATGACCTTTAATCCAATCATGTAACTTTCAGGATCATTGTTAAATCACTCGGACTCAATTTAAGCTTTAAATTCTGGGATTGTTGAAAAACAATTTCGAAGGAGTGTTTCTACAAAATCTGCAAATGTACAATCGCTCTGTAACACATTCCAGTTTTTTAAGATAATATTCCTAATCAGTGACCTAAATAAGTGCAGATTTTTTTTACTTAAGCTTTCTTTCCAAAGTTTAACAAATTATTCTTGTCTTTTAATCTCCACAAATGATTGTCCTGTTAACGTTGGTATTATCATAACCTCTTTCAACAAGGCCATTAAATTGAGGTACATTTACCTTTATTGGATCATTTGTAAAAGCTTTCTTCATGTAACTTCGTTTCAGCACTAGACTACATGAAACAAGATGGAGATATATTGAAGCATACGATGTTAAATAACTTAATTGCCTCTGGGGTTTTAGTTTTTCCATTTCTGTTTTTTTTTTAAATGATGCCTAGTGGTGTTATTCTTTAATTTATATCGTTAATGTCTTTTTATTCAGCCTCCAGTACCTTCTGCCCTATCTAATCTTTCCTACCATGTTCAGCTAACGCTTGAACACTGAAGACAGATTTAAAATCACACACAGGGGAGTTTTAAAATGAACTTCATGTCACACTAAATTTGTCTGTATTTACTCTGTTCGGAGACCATTATTTAAGCTTATAAAGGTCAAAGCACCACAGAAAGAGTGGGAAGACACTGGACATTAATATGTCTGAGAAAATGATGGCTGAAAAATGCCAAAGTCTGCCTCCACGTCTGTTTATGTGAGTGACAGTCCAAATGACAGATCACAGTGTGTCTAGCAACTTGGAGGAAAGTGGCCCTCGGGGTAAAAGATCTTGCAGGGTCAGTCTTGTGAAGGTATAAAGGAATAATGAGGCTATGAAGAGTCATTTTAATATTCTCTGTCTTGTTTATTTCTCTGCATAGTCACTTCTAGTGGACCTATAGTACAGCCTCTTTCTCATTTTTCCTTCAGGCAGTCTTATATTCTGTGGCCTCACATACACAAATTGGAAACGGGAGACAAATGTAAAAAAAAAACAACGAATTTTGGGAGGAAGTATTATATTTACAGCATAAGGAACAGGCAAGGTTTGACACTACTAGGTGGTTTGCTGTGATACTGTGAATTTCAGTCATATAAACTGATCCTAGTTTCTATATCTTTACATTGGATTTAAGTGTCTGAACCAGCGTCATACAGTATTTTGATCCCAAGTTGTCTTGGAAGATATAAGCACTTTGACAGGACATGTTTTTCTGAATTAGAATGTTAATCAAGTGTTCACAGTTGCTTCAGGGCTTGTGTCCAATGATTGTTATGGCTATAAAACATTATTTCAGAATTCCTTAATTTGATCTTAGTTAATACGAAGGTCAGAGTGAAGGCAATTTTTATGTTTTGGCATCAGCCTAAAACCATCTGTGTTTGTGTGAATTTGTGACGAGACCCCAGTGTTAGTGGTGACAAAAATGTCAGTGAAAGTAGAATTAAGATTTTTTTAACAGTTTGGAGTTGTACTGTACATGTGGACATATCTTTTAAGAAATTAGAAACTTGATCTTAAGATGATTAGGTATCACTGACCACTGACTAGTATAATAGGAAGAAAACTAAACTCTTTGTATTTTCAACCCTTTACAGAAATAAAAAAACCTTGAACATATACTGTACAGTATATGGCTTTACTGTATTTACTGTAGCTTTAGATTAATGCTTTTGCTGATATAGATTTATATTTATCTGATTTAAATAGAATAAGCTAGTCTGTAAAATGCCTCAGTTATGTCTAACTTTTTGAAATATAACTCCTTTAACCAAAAGGGTGTACAGTAAAGTATGGCTTGTGAAGTCAAAAGTTTGTTGCATACTGTATATTTATAATTCCCATTTTTTGTTCTTAATAATGAACTATTTAATACAGACATAAGAACCTCTGAAAAACTACAAATGAAAGGAATCGGTGGGGTCTCTCTGGCTCATTTGATTGGTAGTAACTATTTGATTCGAGGGTCTGATTTGGACTTGAAAACGTTCTTTTTGGGGTATCAGATTCAGCAATGTGGTTGTGTAACCTGTCACACTTTACGAAACCCTTCTTGTCCCTTCCGGGACGCCTCATTTTTCTGATGAACTGAAGACAGGCAGCACACTCAGAGATGTGAGCTGTCAGGATGAGTGCTTGTTTTCACACTGTGAAAGAGAAGAAAACAATTGTTGAAATAAAGTGCTAGTCAAGGGATAGGGATGACCTCTATCTGACACTGTTCCAATGTGGTCATTGCCTGGGGCTGTAAGAATAGTACACTGTAAGAGACCTCTCTCACCAAATCGGATTCACCTTATGCCCGGGCCAGTTCTGGAGATTCCTTACTGTGATCTCTTTCCACTTCATATACAGTACAGTAGAGGCTTTTACAGACAGGCACTTTGAAAATCCCTCAAACTGCATTTACTCTCCTGCTTAATATTCCAATACTGAGCCCCATTTTAAGACGCATTTCTGATTTCAGTACATTTGGACTCCCAAAGGGATTTGGACTACCTACTTTTTGATACTTTTTTTTTTGTAATGTTATTTTTGTGTGCTACACTTGCTTTACCAGGCTCCACTACCTCATAACAATGAAATAATAAGAATAAAAAAGATAACGCAAAGCCATTTTGTAGTGGATGATTAATTATATCTGCATTGTGAAACCCTGAAGCAATATGTTTAGAATTCATTTTATTAATGCATATGCAGCTAGATTTGTTGTACTTGGTTAATAAAATAACCTTTGTGTTGACCTGGTTTTAGCAATTCCAGCAAACATCAATTTCCTGTTGATTTTAGATGTGCTATAAGGTTCATGCCTCTACAGTATACTATGTTCTGTTGAGAGAGATGAAGCAAACTAAAGAAAACTTTTTTTCCTTAGTTGTGTCTCAGAGATGCACAGTGCCATAGCTCTAGTGTTGTGATATAATCTCCTCCTAATTAAAAAGATGGGAAAGAAAATGAAAAAGATATATCATAGTTACTTTGTAAAAAGTGACACATATGATGTTTGTGTGTTTTATAGTTCAATATCCATATTATTATAACTATGTAGATTGCTGGTTGTTTCTACACTGGTTATTTGTTGTAGCTCATAATACCTCCCAAAGCAAAGATAATGCTCAAGTACCTGAAAAAAATAACAGATGCACTAGTACTGTTCAGAGTGGAGGCCAGCCAGCTCAAACACATCAGTGTAAAATAACCTAAAGAATCAGAAAAAATTGTTAAGATTGGCAAAAGAAAATCGTACTCTCAGAGTGTATATTGCTGTATACATCTGCTCAATTTGAAAGCAGGAACTGGCATCCTTCCATTGAGCAAATGTCCTATTATACAGTATTTGCTTTAGAGACTTCCAGTTGAACTGAATAAGCAGAATTTGTCTACAGTATGTCAAAAAGGTGTCGTTTTTCATTCTCCTTGTTTCATTTCTCCCAATCCCTTCTACGTCTTCTGGTGCGATGCTATAGTATGTGTACTTCAGCATCCTGGATTTGACTGTACAACTATTTCAAATTCACCTTGTACCAGAAACATTACTAGAAAATACAAGTTGTTGGTGTTTTTTCAAAAGTACATTTTTTATCATCTGAAGTTCAGCAAATCCATCAGGATCAGTTATTAGCTATTGTACCTGACCAAGCTTTGCCCTAATGGCTGCAGGAAATGCCTCATTTTCTGTGATAGTTCTGTATGATTCTATTTCAAGTGTAAAGGGGAATATCGACTGATCAAATTTCAAGGCTAAGGGTGAGTTCTGTCTGATTCTATTTCAAAGCTAAGGGAACTAACAAGAACACAGAGTGTTTTTATGTAATGGTCCATTTTTGGCACAGTGGTATTGCTTCATTATACAGGTGTACTTGTGACGGCAGTCACCACTTTTCCGTAAGCACCTGATTTGTTAAAAAGGTAGACTACTTGCAATTTCATGCAAACTACAGTTCATTCTGTTAAATTTACACAAAAAAGAAGTGTGTTTTAAACACTTTCCACTGTATACTGCATGTGTTTCGCTGTTGTCAAAAGTTGCTTTTAAAATGCCTTTTATTACAGTTGCAAGCTGCTAGGATTTGCTTTTTTAAATGAATAAGTTGTGGTAGTTTTATGTACTGATTATTACTATTACGTAGAAATGAACTCATTTAAATTTAGTGTTTGCTCACATCCTAACCGAACTCTAGAGGGTGTTAAATACTGTAGCAATGAAGATGTTAATGATGGTGTGACATTTCTTGAAGCAGGTGGGCCATATCATGTGCCACATCAGTTTTCCATCTGTCCCCACCTCCCTAGGTCACAGTTCAGGCTTGTGTGGGCTGGATTAGGTATTTAGCTTTATTTCAAATCCACATCTGCATCTGTAGGATGCAGAAAGCATTGCACTACTGGTGCTATTTATTCTTTGATTGCTTAATGTCTGATCACTATAATAAATGGTTGGTTAAAGCATTAACTTCAGCATGCTTTTGCAGTGACAGGTGTTTTGTTAGTACGTTTGTTCAAGACAAGTGGTACTAGGACCTCCCTCCAGGACATGGGATTTTTGTCATGAGCAACTCATGTCTCTTATGTTCTGTGTTCGACAAACAACAACAGAAGCATGTTTCAGAAGTGAGTATTTTGACATTTAGAAACAGGAGTTTGGGTGTCCTACAGTATGTTACAACACTCTTGTTTCTAGATTACCTCTTTTGTGTCTAATTATGAAAACCAATAAAGAAACAATTTATTATATTCTGATTGCCTGTATGTCAAAAACGAACAGCTGATAAAAGTGATTTGATTGCAAAACAAACAGTTTGGAATAGCATGGTGGCGTTCTGTCAATATTTTCTGGGGAGGTAATGGAGGAATTCATTACTGTGGTCTTCAAGATGATGAGATTCTAATCATGCATTTTTTTTTCAAAATTATTAATTCAATCCCTCTTTGGGCCTCACCTGCGTGTCAGGAGATGCATATTTTAAAAAAGTGTAAAATAAATTCAGGTTAACCGTAGCACCTCCGATTGTCTGATTTCTTTAAATACATCATGAAATATACAGTATATAGTTGTTTTTTTGTGTTCAGAAAAAATATCCCACAATGATGCATGAAAGGCTGCAGCCTTTCAGGTTGTCTTATTTTATGTTGCTTTCGGAAGTGTGGATGAACACATCACCTTTTCTTTTCTCAGAATTACCAGACGTTTCACTCACAGAAGAAGAAGTACAGGAAGTGGAACCGTGGGCCAAACCTCTCATTCATCTCTGGCAAAATAAGAAACCAAATTTTCTTGCAGAGAAGGAGTACAATGCCACTGCTGCCAAAACTGAACCATACTGTGCAATCTGCTCTCTCTTTATGCCTTATTACCAGGTAAACCAAACAGTACTCCCGCAGGTAACACCCCAACATCATATTTAATCAAGATTGACATTCCTGCTCTGCATACTTTGTGTGCACAATTCAAACATTGCAAAATGAACGATGAGTTTGAATCTCTGTTTTTAATCCTCATGTATTGTATTGGTATTGAGTATTCTCAAGTCATCACTACTGGACAGCATTACACAATGATAAATAACTCTGATGTGGCCATCTGTCGTAGTGATTTTAAACACGCACCATTTCTAGACAGTACACTTTTAAAAATCATTGCATTTACTCATTGATTTTATAAACATACTGTAAGTTAGACAAAATACAGGGAGTAGAAAATATGGAATCTCCAGGGAAAATGAGCGACACCAAGAATATTGAGAGCAAGGGCTTCTACACAGGTGTGCTTCATGTTAGGGGTTATGTGTATAAATGCTGGACAGGCTGCACATCGTTATGGTTGCAAGAGGGGACCTCATTGATATAAAAAGAAGGGGTGATTATTGGGACACATTTGGCAGGAGCTTCAGTAACCAAGACAACACTTGTTTAACAAACAATGGTGTATAAGGTGATGTCAGCAAGGAAATCCAAGGGAAATATTTAAGCAGCAAAGGGCAACAGTGCATTGTCCTGGATTGTGATGTCTGTGTATTATTTCTAAATCCAAGGAAAAACAAAAGAGCAACTGCATATTTCAACCAGGGGTGCATGCTGCCTGTTTCACCAAAAACTGTTGGTCGAGAACTTCACAGACAGGAATACCATAGCTGGGTTAGAGTGCTTATCAACCTTGGCAATGCACTGTGAGTCCAGTGCTGCAAAGAGCACAGGCAATGCACTACTGAGCAGTGGAGAAATGGGATAGGGTCAGATGAAGCATCCTTCGCTCAACGTCCTATTAAATGACTTGGTGTTTCCAAGTTTTGTCCACTACTTGTATATCATAGAAGAAAGTGTGAACTTAAAGGATGCATATTTAATCAACCTGTATATAATCTCTGTTCACCTGAATAAATAAACATGCGATTCTTGAATAATAAAAGTGTTCTTGTCATACACATTTTCCCTTATATGTCCTGTGTGAATTGTGCTCTTTGCCAAGAGCTTAGGCAGTGATGTGCAATTTACCATGTCACCTTATATTGTGTAAAATATACACATTCTATACGTATGGATTCAAATACACACACGTGCAGATTCAAATATTGCAATTGACATTATTGTTAAAAGTAAATTGCAGCAATATTTTCCTTTGTTCAGTGATGTTACAAAAGAGGGTGCTCTGTCATGTGACCATTTATATTTTATATTTAGAACGATATGAAAAAAACAATAAATAGGTGAGCTCTTCCAACAAAGCTGTTCCAACAGAGAAACTTTATGTTTCTGAACTTTCTTCCAACAGGAAGAGACTTTCCGGGTGAAAATCAAGCTACAGTATGAAAGCCTTATTAAAGAATGTTCTCAAAACCCAGCTATTGTAATGTGAGAAGGTTCCCTTTTTGTGCAAAGAAAAATATAAAAAATATATTTTGCTTTAGCAAAACATTTAAGACTTCTATAGAGTAACAGAAATGTAGTTAGGTTTCCAAACCCTTAATAATTAAATTAATTACTAAAAATCTTTAGTTTATTAGTAGTTAGGGTTTATGTATACTTTATGTATATTGCCTCTCAGGACTTAGCATGGTGTTGTACACATATACATACAGTATATGCAGTCCTCTCACTAATTGACAATTGCAGCATTTCAACAGTGTGACTTAACCAACAGGGTAATTTGTATTAAAATACCCCCAGAATTCTGGATCAGATCAATCCTAGTCTGTCTCTATCCAGTCTGTTATGCTGTATTCCCAAATCCTATCATCAACAGTAAAACAAGAATTTCAGCAAAGGTCTAACAAAAAATGTGTTCTGTTCTCAGCCGGAAGACAAGCCTGAAGAAAGCAGAGTTTTTACAGAATCAATTTCTGAGACAAAGGAAGTAGCAAAGGGACTGAAGAGCAAGCCCTTAATTCCAGAGATCTGCTTTGCGTACAGAGAGGAGAACAGTGAATCCTGCCCTCCCAGTGCTCTGTTAGAGGACGATGGGTCCAGTCCCCTGATCTCTTGTAGGACATGCAGCGTGCAGGTGCATGCCAGTAAGTATGCTCTTTGACCTTTATGCAGATCCCTGAGCACCGTCATCTTGTGTGGAATATCATGCAAATCTCCCCTTCCTGCGTCAGGCCCTTCCTTATGCCCAAGGTCATGGTGCCAGATCAGAGTTGTGTTGTGTTGATTCGGCTCTATTGCGCAATCCACGTTTATCTGCAACTGTGTTTTCCCTACGGCAAGACTTTTCATTTTGACTTGCCAACGGCTGTACAGTATAAACCAGCATATGACAGGAGAACAGCTCCTTGGCTGCTTTCTGTAGGATCTAATGCATATTTTGTACCTAGAGACTGATTTAGTATTCATGTAGGTTTACCAAGTATGAGTATCTTTTTCCTCAAATGGTGTTTTTTGCCCCAGTACACATTTTTTTTCACTGTATTGACATCCCCCTTTTCACGTCTGGCTTTGCCAGCTGTATAACTGCTTATAAACGTGGCAGAATGTCTGATAAATGAAGACTCGGTTTATTCTGCCTGCTGTTTTGGACAGTCCTAAGACTTATGAATGAGGACAGCTGACACTTGACCACTCACCTGGCTGCAAAACAAGAACAGACCGCAATAACAAAATGACTCAGTCTCTAAATGGCTGCTGTTTTGTAGTGTTTGTTCACTTAATGTGTCAATGCATTTTAGACAGCATTTTGTATTTTATTCCATCTGTGTATCATACAGTATCAGGGATTTTAAGTTTAAGCTTAACCAATTCACATTCTTGAATGAACAGTTCCCACAAGTGTGTTTTAATCGAAGGTTTGAGAAACCTATCAATTTCTGCACTTTCTTATAATCTTGAATCATGGGTTCTACATTTGTAAGTCACTATATGTATGTGTGTTGGCTCTGGAAGGTACTCCAGGGGCTGTTGATATGATATGACAGATGTCTTCATTGTTAATATACAGTAGGTGCAAAGCATGTGTGCCCAGCCAAAAGCTGATTTAGAGTCTGGTCAGTCTAAGTGGACCCAGAAAGAACTAAGGAACTTTATTTTGAACCTCTGGTTATCAGGGTGAATGTGGTTAGATGGACAGGTTAAGCAATCTAAAAAACCTAAAAATCCTGCAGGTCCAGTTTTGTACTGTGATGAGCTGTATGGATTTGTAGTAAGGAGGAAACACACACGAATGTGATGCTGGGTTAATGCTGTGTATTTGAGTGTGCATCACACAAAACACCAGCAATGCTCCAGGCTACACAAAAAAACAAACATACATATAGAATAAACTGCAAAAAGTTTGACAAACAGAAATAAAGACAGAAAAGACCCTGTTTGTTGCATTCAGGGGTCATTTGTGGGGGTCTCTGGGCTAGCAGAATGAACCAGAATATACAAACATTAATAGCAACATAAAACTGCAAGTTTTGCTATAGATATTTATTTCCTGCTCCACTCCCAGAGATTTCAAAAAGGTGAACAAATTTCAGTATTGCCTTAAAGAAATGAAAGCAGAGTTGTACTAAGAGGTTACCAATCTGAAATAAGCCTTTTTTTTTATTTGCAACATTTTCTTTTCATCCTAAAACACTAGAAAACGTGGTACAGTACCATATAATCACGTCACCGCTGTTATACAAAGGACCTTTCCAGCTTGGCGGGATTTCTGTTTTCCTCCATGAAGATCATTAAATTTGTAAGCAACTGAAGCACAGATTGTTGTCCTGGTAAAATGAAGGAAATGGAAGAAGGTCAGCGATTATGAGAAGCAAAAACCACACATGATTCAGCGATTGGCTGGGGAAGGTTCATTGTGTGTTTTGAGCTGAAGTCATTTAGTGGTTGCGTGTCTTTTTCCATAAACCACTGCTCCCCATGGTGAATCTTCTACATAAACTACACACTTCCGTAGCTTATTTGATTGCCAATACCACACTTCTACCGCTTTCCCAGTATTTCTTTGGACCAGTTTGTGTGTTGCTTTCGGTTGATTTGGAGTTAGTGTGACTTCATGGAAACCTAAAATTCGTGACCTTCCTTTTATAACGTAAATATTGTCTGATTTTCCTAATACCAGCACTACAGGGGCCTCATTTGGTTGGTTTTATAATGAACAACAGAACTTGTTTACAAAAGGGAAACATTGAAATGTGACAGGCTTCTGGTGGAACTATTGCACTCTCACATTTTATCCTTTGGGTTGTGGGTTTGATCCGGCAGCCAAGACTCAAATTAAACACATTTGTCTCTCAGATATATTTATGAAATGTATTTTGCAGAATGGTTTATGGAGATGAATCATCACAATACATTGCAAATGCTTCTATTGATTTGAAGAAGTAATCATAATATACTCGTGTTTCTTTTCATGTCTAGTCTGCTTTCTGTGGATTCAGAAAATAAATCTAAAGAGCTTGAATTGTCCAACACCCAGCTAAGAAGTTCCAGGCATTGTTGAGGCTAACAGTGAGTGTAACCAGTTGAGATAGTCTACTGATATCGATCAACTGGGGGCTGTCTGTTTATTTTGCAGCTGAAGATTTTTGAAGATTAAGTTATTTCTCATTAGACTTTACTGAAATTGGAGGAAGTTAAAAGAAGATTTTAACATTTTAATTAATTTTTCATTTAATCTTTAATCTATACACAATCTTGTCATCACCAACTGCAATAACTGACTAACATTTAAACTTCAGCATGATATAGGTCGGTTTTACACTAGAGGTGGTGCTGTATGTACTGTATAGTGTGGCGTTTTTCTGAATTTCTCCAGAATTGTTTTGAAATGCAGAAGAAAAATGATGGATGCTTCATTGGTACTTCAGTAGAGGTTCTGTAGATTATTGATGTATTTTGTGGTCGAATGCATTACTATCCTTGAGAAACCCTTAACAGTGCCTTCTCTGACATACTGTATTCTATGCTATTTCAACTTTTCCATCTTTATTTCAATGTCCATCTGATGAAATTATGTTAAGCATTTCTTCACTTACTTAAAACTAACGTCTCACGAACTGATCACTAGAATTTTCCATCATCACCCTTCCTGCCCCTGCTCTGTCAGAGTCTGTTCTGTGGTGCCTGACGTCAGCAGATAGTTATTCATTTCAGTCACGTTCCTGCACTTGTTTGGAATGACTGCGGTGCTCCAGGAATTGGTTATTATACAAATTGCTCGGACAGTAAGCTGCTAACCATTTTCTCCAGGTGTAGTCCTTTATTAGTAATAAGTATCTGGCTCCATGTTTAAATTTAATGACTTCATTGTCAGAAACCATGAAATCACTGTAACTGCCCATACCTATTCTGCTAAAATTAATTTCAATTTTCTCTCAGCTCATCATATTCAATCCTGGATTCCTGCGAGGTTCTGTGAGGTGTCAATTCAGCATGATTTCAACAACTGGGTGTCATATTCCGAGGGTCACATGCATTAATACTATGTTTGTTATTTCCAACCTAATACTTTTTAATAAATTGATAATAACATGTCCAATAACATTAGAAATATTAGATTAATTACACAAGTAGTTTCTTACTTGCTATCAGTTGTGTAAGATCCTGGATTATAAAATATATATAGCAAACTTTAAAATGATATCTTATAACCTACAAAACAGAACATTATGGAGTAGCAGCCATTATACTATACTGTATTTTTTTCACCACAACATATACGATAACTTCATTTTAAAATTTAATGGGAGAGTTATTTTGTTGTGTTTTTTGTGGATTGTGGAATCCCAGTCACAGTTGGTTAGTGACACAATCCTGGCTCGAACCTGTGACCACTGAGCTCAGTCTGTGCTTGGATAACCACCTTTCTCAGTGGAGCTACTTAGGAGCCCCTTAATATCTGGGGATTTACTGTATAATTTTATTTCATTAGTAAACGTAAAGGTTTCTTGTGAGGCTGACCACATACAGCACAGTCAACTAACACCAGCTCCCCACTGTCCCGTTAAAGTACAAAGGCAGCATTTAATACAACAACACCTGCAATGTAGAGCTGCATCACCATTTCCAGTTGGCCGGGGCTGTGAAGAATCCTCAGCTTCATGCACTGTTCACCAGGTCTTGTACAGACTATTAGATAATGTTGGTCTAGGGAATGAAGAGTGCTATTTAAATGTTTAAAACATCAAAAATTATATATAAATAAAAAATACCCTGGATCGAAGAATATCAAATATTTATTTGCATCATTCTTGGGTATTTTGCTCTAGTTTTCATATTTCATGGTTATGTGAATATAAATGCAATAGATATCAAATGCAGTGTACAGTTTTTTCTCTCTGTGCTACTGAGAACAAGACCAATTTCCGCATGTCTTTTAAGTAGTTGTTATCCATAATCTATGCCATTACGATTCATTTCTTCTATGAAGAAGTTCACAAGTGAAAATACTGCACCTTATCACTGAGCTCTTGTATTACTGTTTTTTTGGAGTGAAATTATTTACATCATAAGGTTATCTGTTTATTGCATTCTGCAAAGGCTGTATAAGCTACACTGGAAAAAACAAACAAGCAGAAGACAAAAAACTCAGGTTGCCCTCTTTTCCTCCCAGTGCACAGTCATGAAAGCTACTGTACAGTATGTCACGTTTCCTGTTCTTTATCTGCTTGGACAATGAGGAATAAGTGAAGGCTAATTTCATGTTATTGTCCTACAGTATATACTGTACATGCACAATTATGTCTGGCTAAAGCATTCTCTCAATTCACAGCTTTTATGTTTTTATTCATTCGTAAAGTGGCATATGTGTGAACTTGGAAAAATCAAATAGCTTCAAGTGAGCTTTCAAATCTCCATACACACGTTGATGCAGATTCTCTGTCAGGATGAGCTGACAGACAGACAAAAAGCATTTCAAGGATTATGTTGCTAATTGTTTATTCATTCTGTTGTTTGTAGGCTGTTATGGTGTCCGTGCCCAGGATGTACACGGTAACTGGTCTTGTGATCGCTGTGCAATTGGAGACATGACAGCTGTAAGTCGTACTTTGATTCAGGTGGTATTTGTTTGTATGAGGATAATTTGCATAAATTATCCTCAATGTAACATTCATTTGATAAATTAAGTACTTTATTTGTCAGCTGTTTAACAAATAACTGTAACCTTCCCTTGATGATCTGAATACACACATTTTCAAGAAGCTTAAATATCAAGCCTGACTGCTACTTGTGCTATTCCATATTTTTTCAAACTCTCAAAATTAATGTCGGATAGAGGGCTAAGTGAGTGACGCAGCCTGGTATCATATTTTCACATTTAGAAACCCCCAGAATCTTCTGGGGGTACGTATTATATTAGTAGTGGTGTTTGTGTTTCTTGGAAATATGTCCATAACACCTTTGAAATCTAAAAATACTATTTGATATACTGTACAATACCTGGTCATCCAAAAAGAAGTACAGAAACATAATCATGAAAAGGGGATAAACTTAGAGCGATTAATAGTTTCTGAATACGTCTTCTGATCTCCTTAATTCCATAGTTGCCTTTTATGGGTTGGGTGAACTTAGATTTACATAAGAAATTGCCTATTTTTATGTTCTCGGCTACTGTTCAGTTTACAGCTCAAGTATTTTTATCGCATAGCTATGTCAAAGTAGCACTCTGCGTGTGGCCTTGAGAAATTGCAGAATGAAAGCTGTGTATCTGAAGTTCTTACCTCAGGAATCCTTATATTTTATAGAGCCTAGGGATCTGTGCTAACATATTACAACTTAAGACAGCATAAAAAGGACACCCCTGCTGATAGACAAGTCCCGGAGGTTGTTACTTCTTCCATCCCATTGCCTTAATAAAGGGCTGTTTGTAAGAAACAAATGTGTCTTCCACGAGTTACATGCAATTGTGAAGATTGGTACAAGGTACTGTACTGTATCTCTAGCCAATCTCACTTTGATCAAGTGTTGAAAAGTAGCATGCTTCCTTGGGGATAATATTGTACAGGATTCGTGCTTCACTGACTGCATTTACTGTATGCTAGCCAGCAGCAATTAAATTGTGGATTCATTTGCAAATGTTCTCATTGAAGTACCACCTACTCAATACATGATCCATTATAGTTCAGATTTGGTTATAAGTTGGACCTTAGTGAAGGGAGTAGTCGTGAGTGTGGGTGAGTTTAAAAGAGTATAGCACACAGAAGAACTGGTGTTACGTACGTTATCTTTAGTTTATCAAATACATCTTTAAATGAATAAATGAGTAAGTAAATGAGTAAAAGAATAAACAGTTCCTAACTATGGAGCAACCAGTATTTTATGTTGTCTTTGTGATGTTACTGTGAATTATTCAATTACATTTTTGCAGCACAAAAAATACTGCAGTAAAACACTGGACTTCCAGCCACAGGCGCAGATCCTTAGCCACAGAGCCACCACACCATCTCCGAAGTGTTGCTGTTAGGAGTGGGATTTGAACCCGCAACCTCCATTTGGAGACCAGAACACCCACGTGAATTGGAAAGATACGAGTCCTTGACCACTCAGCCATCCTGACGAGCGGTTTTACCTCAAAAAGATATGCCATCAAATACTGACTTTCACAATCTGAAATTTCTATAGACCACATACTGTATTATCATTTGAAATCACTGTGTTGAAAACATCTATATATTGTTCTAATATAATCAAGTGTGTGCTTTGATTTGCCCAAAAATAAAACTGTATTTTGTATTTATCATTCCTGTTAATCTCATGATCACAAATACAAGTTGTTTGACTTTAAATTAAAAATAATAGTTTTGACTTTGATGTTCTGATACAGTACATTTAGAGGGCAACATACAGGGCATGTTCCCAATAACAATATTTATTTATTCCTGCATTGTCCATAATACTATTGAATAAGATGGACGTGTGGTTTAGTGTCAATAGCATTATACATTGCTGTTAATTTAACGCTCATGCACTTAGGTGGTAGTGTTAATTTACATGCTTATGCACTTAGGTTGTATTAATTACATTACTAATTGAGATGGTTAAGTGGGATGATTGGTTAATAATCAACTTTATAGAAGTGGCTATATGAGCATTGTAGTGCTGGAGGACAGAACTATAGATGATAAAAAGAGTCGAGAGAATCTCCAGGTCCTCATTACAGTATGTACACTATAGAACCCCATATGCAATTCCCTGTATTCTTTTCAATTACATAATTAGCAATCAACAGTGAGCTTTATACCACAGGTAAATTATACACACACATCACAGCACTGTTGGATTATGAGTCCCTGTTGGTAGTCCCTGTGTCATGGCAGTCCACTGCGTCACTGGGGCAGTCCTCCACACTACAGGACCAGAAATACATACCTGTCGTAACTAAATTAAGACAATTTAGAGCATTAACTTACAAGGTCAAAACAAGGTCAAAATGTAACCATTATTATTTGAAGAGTAATCTCTGGAAGTCAGATGCCTGTCTCAGTGTATCATGTATTAACAATCCTCAGACCTCATGCCATTAAAAACACCATTAAAAAACAGATGTTTTTTTTTTATATTAGGATGTCAGGTTACAGTCTTTGTAAGTAGGCTTTGAATCCAAAGAACTATAAATTGATAGCTTTATTTAGTTAACCTAATTCCTAAATGTATTGTTCTGTAATTTGTGTTTTCACTATGAAAAATATTGTGTAGCAGCACAAACTTTGATAAGAATACATCATTAATACTTAATTTCCTGTTGTACTGTATTTCATAATTGCAAATCAATTGTCTGAGGAAATACGGCTGTTTCCACACCTGCAGTGTTTGAGAGAAAATGCTAATATAGTTTATTGATGTACACAAATTAGGAAAACAACAAAGAAAGTTGCCTGTAGGCAGTATTAATAATTAGACAGTGTTAATCTTCAGTAAAAAATAAATTACATTTTCTCTTTTGTTCAAATGAAATGATCTCTAATATATAATTTTCAAACTGTAGATTATGTTATAAATATTTCATGGGGTTTGTCCATAGGGGAGGGAAGGTTATACATTGATATGCATCAGTTTTTTAGAGCTAAATTTGGAATTAAAATGCCATGTTACTAATTGTTTTTTTTTAACATTAATTTGTGCCGAAGGTGAGTTCTTGTCAGGCTTGAATTCTCCTTAGAAACTTCCAGAAGTCATCTTAACAGTTTTCTTCTTTTCAAAAAATATCTCTTCCAAGACATAGAGAAACACCCTCCTCAAACAATTAAAGACACATGAACAAAATAATTATACTCTCTATCTGTGATATCTGTCTATAATGCAAATTATAGGAAATTGGTTTCGTGTGAAGACATTGACACAAATAGTCACAGATGGTGTCTGTAACAGCTTTTTAGTCCCTTTAATTACAGCTGAATCAAAATATTCTTTCCTCTCCACAATAATAGTCATTGATGGATATAAACCTTGAATTGCAGTGTGCATTACTGATTTTTGTTCCTGAAAGACTTGTTTCAGAATATCTTTTTTTAGGAAGTGTCTTTTTTGGCATACATAGTTACTATTAATTTTAATTCTAGTTATTCTCTACCAAAGCTAAAACAATAAAATCCAATGGGACCTTTAAAAGTAAAGTCGGTATCTTCATTATTTTCATTAAATATAAGTTAAACACAAGTTTCATTAAGAGTGACTTACTCGTGTGGTTTGTGAAGGTGTTAAATGTAACTACTTGGCAAATGTTCACTTAGTTTTCAAATTAACATCTGAGGTTGCCCACATGAATCTGCAGACTGTGGCAGTGTTCATGTCAACATTTAAATAAAGTATAAAGCATACAGTATGTTTTTGCCAAACGGCAACTAACTAAATTAAATGTGACCATATAACATACTGTAGCTGATTGAAACACAAAATGAGATTTGGGATAGTCTCACCAGGAACTGGGTGTGAGTAGCACAGAAAGGTCAAACCTGTGTTGAAGTTGAATGTGTCTTTTTCATGAACAATGTCTCAGAATATTTTGTCTGGAAATTTCAGTTTATTATGAAACATCTATCCTATGAAATCGGTCAATGTATTGCTCTCCACATGATGTAAATGCAGCGGCCTTGGGTCTCCCAAATGGCTCAACCTGTGAAAGTGCTTGCCGGAGTGCGAGTTCAACTCTGTGATCGAAGGTGCAAGATAAGGTCAAGTTACTAGCCAACTTTGACTGGGATTCCCCAAGCAATGATGCAGAGTAAGCTAATGGTGGAACAAATCTAACAACTGAACAGGCTAGATGGGTCAATAGCCTCCTGTCTTTATTTCTTAAAAGGTTTTAGCACTTTATATACAGTAGTAAGTTGCCTAATGTCACTTGCGTCTCTTTGAAATTCACAGTTAAGACATTCTGCAAGCACAGTCTTTCAGAACCATGCAGTGTAGTATTTTACAGGTTAGCTCAATATGTGTATAGAGCAAAGATTTAAAACATGACTTAAGAACTTAGTGTTGTTCCAATGACAAGCTGAGCCTTCTGTGTATCCTGGATGTTCAGAAAACATTATATCTCTGTGCTTTACTATAAATTATGGTATGATGAATGCAAAGGTAGATGAGTTAATTATTATTTTAAGGCCTCATTCCAGTAAACTGTAAGGCACAAACTTAATATGAACAATTTCACAACTCAGTGTTTATAAGTTCACAGTTCTCAAGGCCCAGCTTTGGAACTCTGATTCAAATTAATTTTCAGCGCTGATTTTACAAGAATGTTTGTGTTGTTTTTTTATGATCAGCTGCCCTCTAGGATTCTACAGCAAAATTCTGACATGGATGATTTTTTCTTTCTCTTTTATCACATATCAAATGGTGTGAAAATATTTAATCAAGAATGGTGAAAAAAACAGTCTGAAACAGCAGATTGTCTGTAATAATTCAAGCTTCCCAAAGCTGGTATCATTCGTACACTTCAACGGATCCCATCATGTTGCTAGTTTGACTGAAGCTGAATGGAAACAAATGGCTGTGTGAACTCAAAAAAGGCCTTTAAAGTTGTGTTGTATTGGCATCTGTTTAATTAATGTTTTGTAAATTGTTCTGTTTTCTTTGGTTTGTCAGCATTAATGCGATGCAGTCTACTGAAAGTAATCCACAAACAGCTAGAATGACAGCTTTGTGATTTGTTGCTTTACAATTACAGTAGCAATGACACTCCAATAATAAAGTGTTTTACTCAAGTAAATGGCAGTGTGACTAGCTTCATATAACCTGTTTACATCATTTTATTCAGGAATGCTGTCTCTGCAATCTGAGGGGTGGAGCGTTGAAGCAAACAACTGACACCAAGTAAGAATTTGTAGAAATGATGGTTTAACTCAGAAATGTTTAATGCTCAAATGCTGTTTAGGGATGTGGTGCCTGATGTAGCTGCCAATACATCATTTAATCTCAATAGCTGTGCTGTGTTTATCTTTCAGAAATATGTTTCTCATTAATTGTAAGCAGCAGAAGATGAAGCACACTGTTAGCTTTGGAGGAGATGTTTTAATATGTGGTACTTAACATGCCAGACAATGCACATAATGCTTTTATCTGTTCACGAATAACAGCATCATTTCAATTTTGCCACATTTATGTTTTTTATTGAGAGTGGCCACATTAATATTATGTCCAAATGTTAATTGCTGTTTCTGGACAATCTAGTCCTAATAATCAAATTGCAGATACACTTATATTTTAAGTTTATATCTTACTTATAAACTTAACAATATTAGGATTCTTAAGGAAAGGCTGAACAGAAGCCTTTTCTTGTATCATTGTTTTTGTCCATTTGTCCTGTCCCTTGGGAATGCTTAACAAAAAAAAAGTGAATTCCCATATTCCATTTGTTTCCTTAAAATGTTTTTCTTCTCCCCATTTGCATGTTTCAAGATAGGAACTGATGTGGCCTTAAACTTGTTTTATCCCTCCGTGGGTTTGGGAGCTCTTCCTCATTTATAGAAATGGACAGCCTTAGGCTCTATTTTCCCTCAATGGTGATTGTATTGAGACCACATGAAGCAAAGGCCTGTGTGTTCGTGTCATTATATTCTGATAAGGGCAGCTAATGTGCTCTATTATCTAGAGTCTGACAGGTGACTTAACTGTGAAGATTTATGTACAGTACGTATATAAATTCCAACACTGACTTTTAAGTAAGTTTGTAGTGAGTGCCTATGTCTGTTTTGCAGATGGGCTCATGTGATGTGTGCAGTGGCACTGCCTGAAGTCAAATTCAGTAATGAAACTGAGCGTGACCCCATTGACACCAGCCGAATACCTTTGCAGAGGTACAAACTGGTGAGTAAACATTTAAAAGGTATTAAACAGCATTTTAAATGATATGATGTATTTATACGATATAGGATAGTATATATCCGTTGATGTCTGTATATGTGTCTGTGTTCAGTTGTATAAAAAAGATTCAGTAGTCAGGAAGGTATTCATGTCATTGGATAGATGGAATTGTGGTGCAATTCAATAGCCTGTTGGATTTGTTTAATCAAAAAAAGATTGAGATTAATTTTTGGAATGAGAACTACAAATCCCTAGAATCCGAACAATATAAATATATCAGTGTATGGTGAGAGGGATGCAGTTATTTTTAATACATTCCAAACCACAAGAGTCAAACCAATGTCAATATACTGTATCTAGTGACAGACCTCATTCACATACAGTACCTTATATAGATGAAAATTTCTCAAATACTTTTTTTTAGATATTTAACGATTTGTGCCTGTTCAGTGCTTTTCTTTTCTTACTCTTCATAGCTGAAGCTGTTTCAGGAGGTGGAATAAATTAAAAATGTTGAGTGGATTATGTAAAATGCCCAGTTGGTGGATTTGGAGTATTATTGGAATTAGCATACGCACTGTAGAAATGTAGTGATCTAGAAATTGAAATTTTAGGCAGATGTTTGAATTGATAGAGAAATTCATTAAAGGGGCTAAGAGTTCAAAGGATGTTTAAAATGTAATGTTGATGTTGCCTTTAATACATGTGGCTCCTAAATTAATTTACATCTGTTAAAGTATAAAGTCTATTTAGATGGATTTTGTTACACAAGCAACACTAGGGTGCTACACTGGGCATTTGACTACAATAAAACATGCACAACTTTTCAGAAACCCAATTCTTCTTATCCTTTCATTTATCTATATGTAAGTTACATTTACAGTTCATTTACAGTGTAAGTTTAGAAGATGCAGCAGTATCAATATTTTTAAGATATTTTTTAAATGTTTACCTGGAGATGTATTACATCTGAATTGTTTATGTATAAATCATTCATTGGGATGAAAAATAATACCAGAATGATAGTTTAATAGAATTTAAGGTTTTAGACCTGCTTATTTATATATATATATTATTTATATATATTTGATTAGGCTGGCCTGTAGTATACGATAATGACTAAAAAAGAAAAAGATGTTTTATACAAAAACAGATACTGTATGTTGTACAGAAAATTTAAGCGATTACACATTTTTAGGCACCTTTAGGCTCGAAAGTTTTTCTTCAGCAGTTTAGAAAGAAATGGAATCACAGTGCAGGGGATGATGTCATGTGTCAGAATAGAAGGTTCACTCCAAAAGGTTACAAGAGTACAAGGAGTTACGAGATCAATTCTCACTCTTTTTGTTTGCTAGAAGCTTTGTTCCATAACACTGGCTCGCTCCATACTATGTATGATGATGTCTTCAGCAGTGTGGTTATTGCTACTGTAGAGCAACTGGAAACGCTACTGTATTAATTCAGATGCTTCGTTTTTGTTTCACAATGTAGTCAGCTAATTGTCTGTTGGGTCCTCCAATGTGGTTTGTAATTAGTTGCATTTGTACAAGCAAAGCAATGTTGGTTGCTCCTTTAAATTTACAGTACACATACTGTAAGTTTTGGTGAATGGTAATGGATGATTTAGGGCCTCTGATCTCTGTACAGTGATTGATGTAATTCATCTGTTTATATTACCTGAAAAAGTACCCTTTAGCCTTTATATAGTTTCTGCTGGCATCTCGGAATTCCTATTGAAGTATTAAAACAACCTGTTTCTTTATTTTTATGCTCCATTTGAGACTGATGGAAAATAAAATGGTGCAGATCTTTCATCTGGACAACAGGTGGTGCTCAGTTATGAACATGGTCCTGAACATGGGAGAGTTGCTGTTATGGAAAACAGTTATTTGTGATTGAATGGGTTTGTTTTCATATACCCAAACAGTCCATGTAGTCAGTGTATATTCCCAAGCTGCATTGAAATCCTCCTGTAATCTAAAATGTTTCTCTTTCAGCTGTGTATTTTGTTGTCTGCTATGTCAGGGTTTTCACATTTTTTTATAATATTCAAAAGGAAATTGCATCAGATATAATGTCAGAATCAAACAAAAAGGCATACTTGTATAAAATAGAACATTACCTTTCATTCCTTTGAAACCTGTCTCTCCCTATCAGCTTCATGTTCTAGCCCTTTTATTTATTTTTTTTTCATTTCTTGGGTAAAATGGTTGAACAATGCGGTCCCTTAAAGTTGTTCGGAGGCCCGGGGAGGCCGCCTCCCATTGTGCAGATAAAAATATTGGTGTAGTAGCAATGTTTCTGAAACATGACTGTCAGCATAGGCGGGCACTGATTTTGTGTATGGTTTGGGTTATTGCACTCCACAAAACTTCAACGTTTCATATGTTGATGTAACTTAATATAGAAGGGAAAGAGACAGTGGGCTCAATTACCAGTTCATATGCTCCATGGCCTGCTAATCGCATGCATGAGAATTAATGTATAATCTGTGTCTGGATCCGGTATTTTCAATAGTACAGCCCTTATCTTTATTTCTGTTTTATTCCTCCTTGATATAAATCAGTTTTACCAGTTGGAATATTTGTGTCTCCATCTTTCTAAAAGGTGTTTAAACAGCACAGAAGCCTGCTCTTTTGCTGTTTATCTGAAAGGAAGAATACACATTGACAGGGAATAAAATAATGTGTTGCAGCCCTCATGAGAATTTATTATTGCTGCTGAAGCTTGTTGTGCATATTTATTGCAATCAAGATGCCATGTAATACCTCAATTAACAGCATGAAGAAGATCCTGAGTGCATATTTATCACAGTGTTATGTCCTTTATTGACAGAAGAGCCTTAATGAATCACAGATAAATTCAGGGCAGAATGTGGACTATTAGTCTTGAAGGCTTCGGGCTCCTTCTGCATGTACAAACTGTCTATGTCAATGAATCTTTAGTGCAATAAGCAACTGCTGCAAAGGAACTGTCATTGTTTAAGTGACTGAAGCAGGAAGTAAGAAGTTTGTATGCTTTGAAAGAGGATAGAACACCTCTCAAGGCTCTTCTTAGTAGCTGCATTTGTTGCACAACTGTCTTTTTTTTCATTAAGGAGTTATTGTGACCCAACTGACAGGGACTTGTTCATAGTGAGGTACAGAAGCTCTGCGATCTGGTTTCCTCGGGTTTTTAAAATTAATAGCTTAATACAGTTTTTTTTTCTGAATACTTTTTTGCATGATTTTTAAAATCATCTAAAGTTTTCTTGCTTTATAGGCAATATTATTCTGATACATTTCTGGCTACAGTTATTGAAAAGCACTTAGAATGCTTTATTGCACAGCGCAATATACATGAACACCAATATACTGTACTATAGAAACTTGCAAAGATATACACTTTTTTTTTTCTAGAATGTAATAATGCAGTATATTGTGGAGCACTCTTGTATTGGGATTAATTAGAGATCGATAATCTTTGTCTTTTTTAGAAGATCTAATCATTGTGACCTGTTGTCCTGCAAAGTATTTGTATCACAGCAAGTGTAGAACTCTTGAGGTACTGAACATGTTTCTGTAAAGGATTTATTTGGTGAAATGCTGGTCTTAGTTTTCCATGTAACACACTGTCATGTGAATTGTACAAGAAAGAAGACAACCTCTGAAGCGAAGTGTTTCCTCCCGCTCCCCAATCAGTTGTTTAACTGATTTTTGGATTATTTCCAGTTGCTGGTTCCCACTGCTTTGTCCTTATTAAAGGCCGCAGTTCGGAATAGTGGTTAGGGCTCTGGGCTATGGATCGGAGGACCTTGGGTTTAAATCCCCATTGGGATGCAGCTGTTACACCCTTGAGCAAGACACAGGATATCCATGAGCACTTGCTCTAGTATTTGCCTTACTGTTTAAATGGGTCCCCAGGTTATCATTGAGCAAATTTGTTCTCAGTGTCATACTTCCATGGTAAAATACCAGAATATAATGAAATAAAAAATAACCAGGCTGTCTTCCAATCTGCCAAGGGAATTGGAGCCAAAAAATGTGTGTTAATCCCCTCACACTTCCCAGTAAGTTGTGGGGTGTTCTGCAAATTTACTGGATAATATCAGTCACTACAGTATATTGACATAACATTAACAAAATTGAATTTTAAAACTAAGAGGAATAAAAATATTTTATTTTCTGTTTGTAGTTCACGAACTTACAGTACTTAAGATTTCTATTTTCAATTACACCATTCTGCCCAGATTCAAAGTTTTAAGTTGCATATTTATGCTATACTGAAAGTCAGTCGTAAATTAATTAAAGCTTAATCAAACAAAGACGTACATTTCAACAAAATGGCCTTTATACAGTATGCTAAAAGGAGTGCAGCTGTGTATTGGTCATGAGATTGCATTTGCTAGGCTCTAAACCTGCACAGTGTATTACCAAACACCTTCCTTAATAATCCTTCAATTAGTTTCAATCACCTTGCATCAAATAATGCAATATAAAGGGCATTTAACTCTGCCTTATAGCATGGATATTGGTCAAAAAACAATATATATATATTTCTCTTCTTGGGACACTGTCAGCTCTTAATTCAAACATTATTTTTTCCTTTTCTACAAAATAGAATGAAATTGGGAAATGAGGTTTAGAGCTGCAGTGTTGCCGAAACTCTCCCGCTGGCCAGTAATTTGTATTTGACAACTGAACCAAGTAGTCACAAGTGTACTTTGTGTGGGAAACATTATTCTGAAAAGGAATTTACTAACTGGATGACGGGTTGAATATGAGCCATTTCAGGGGATGACTCAGACCAGAACATTCTGCTTAGGTACCTCGTTTAAAAAAAGGGGAAAAAATCACCTAAAGGGAAATATTAGCGAGCTTGAGAGCCTCAATTTGTAGGTTTGAAAGGTACATCAATTTTGAGAACAGAGTGCTTTTCCAGTGGGTTATTCTAGCTGAATACTGGGATCAGATGAAGCAGATCTGAGCATTGTACTTGAGGAGAAAATCAGTATGACAGCTGTT